CTCTTAGCATGTACAAGAATTAGCTCAAGATAGATTAAGACTTAAATGGTAGACTGAAACTATGAAAACCCTAGAAAGAGCATAGGAAAACTTCTTCTGGACATTGGCCTCTGCAAAGAATTTATGACTTAAGACCTTAAAAACAAATGTGACAAAAACAAAAACAGACACATGTGACTTAAATTATAGAGCTTCTGCACAAAGAAACTATCAATAGAGTAAAGAATCAAGAGAAAATTTTTGCAATCTACCCATCTGACAAAGGTCTACTATCCAGCATTTATAAGAAACTTAAAACAACTTTACGAGAAAAACACGACCCAATTAGAAAGTGGACAAAGGACATGAACAGAGACTTTTCAAAAGAAGACATACATTTGGCCACAAGCATGTGAAAAAACGCTCAACGTCAATGATCATTAGAGAAATGCAAATCAAAACCACAATGAGGTACCATCTCACGCCAGTCTGAATGGCCACTATTAAAAAGTAAACAAGGCCGGGCGCGGTGGCTCAAGCCTGTAATCCCAGCACTTTGGGAGGCCGAGGCGGGTGGATCACGAGGTCAAGAGATCGAGACCATCCTGGTCAACATGGTTAAACCCCGTCTCTACTAAAAATACAAAAAATTAGCTGGGCATGGTGGTACGTGCCTGTAATCCCAGCTACTCAGGAGGCTGAGGCAGGAGAATTGCCTGAACCTGGGAGGCGGAGGTTGCGGTGAGCCGAGATCGCGCCATTGCACTCCAGCCTGGGTAACAAGAGCGAAACTCCATCTCAAAAAAAAAAAAAAAAAAAAAAGTAAACAAAAAGAATAACAAGATGTTGATGGGGTTGCAGAGAAAAAGGAACGCTTGCTTATACACTGTTGGTGGGAGTGTAAATTAGTTCAACCATTGTGGAAGACAGTGGCAATTCCTCAAAGACCTAAAAACAGAACTGCCATTCGACCCAGCAATCCCATCACTAGGAATATATCCAAAGGGATATAAATTGTTCTGTTATAAAGACACATGCATATGTATGTTCACGGTAGCACTATTCACAGTCTTAATGCCCATTAATGGTAGACTGGATAAAGAAAATGTGGTACATGCACACAATGGAATTATGTGGTACTATAAAAAAGAACAAGATCATGTCCTTTGTAGGAACAAGGATGGAGCTGGAGGCCATTATCCTTAGCAAACGAGTACAGGCACAGAAAACCAAATATCACGTTGTATTGGTCCATTCTCATGCTGCTGTAAAGAAATACCTGAGACTGGGCAATTTGTAAAGAAAAGAGGTTTAATTGACTTATAGTTCCACATGGCTTGGGAGGGCTCAGGAAACTTACAAAAATGGCAGAAGGCACCCCTTCACAGGGCAGCAAGAGAGAGAATGAATGCAAACAGGGGAAATGCCAAATGCTTGTAAAATCATCAAATTTCATGAGACTCATTCATTATCATGAGAACAACTTGAGGGAGGAAGCTGCCTCCAAGATCCATTACCTCCACCTGGTCCTGCCCTTGACGCATAGGAATTATTACAATTCAAGGTGAGATTTGGGTGGTGACACAGAGCCACGCCATATCATGCATGTTTTCCCTTATAAGTGAGAGATAAATGATGAGAACATGTGGACACATAGAGGGGAACAGCACACACTGGGACCTATAGGAGGGGAGGGTTGGAGTTGTAAGAGGATCAGAAAAACTAATTGGACTAGGGTTAAAACTTGATGACAAAATATCTATACAACAAACCCCCATGACACAAGTTTACCCATACAACAAACCTGCACATGTACCCTGGAACTTAAAGGTTAAATTAAAAACAAAGAAGACATACATGTGGCCAAAAAACACATTAAAAAAATGCTCAATGTCACTAATCATCAAAGTAATGCAAATTAAAACCACAGTGAAATATCATCTCACAACAGTCAGAATGGCTATTATTTAAAAGTCAAAAAACAACAGATGATGGCAAGGTTGCAGAGAAAGGGGAATGCTTATACACTGTTGGTAGAAGTGCAAATTAGTTCCAATTACATGGCAAACAGTCTGGAGATTTCTCAAAGAACTTAAAGCAGCACTACCATTCAACCCAGCAATCCCACTATTGGGTATCTACCCAAAGGAAAAGAAAAAATTTATTCAAAAAGATAGCATGCACCTTTATGTTTATTGCAGCCCTATTCACAACAGCAAAGTCATGGAATCAACCTAAGTGTCAAGAGTAGATTGGATAAAGAAAATATGGAGTTTCATTTTTAATAAAATGTGATGTTTAATGTTTAAAAGAAAATCTGGTATTAATATATACCATGGACTACCACACGACCATAAAAAAAATGAAATCATGTCTTTTGCAGCAACATGGATGCAGGTGGAAGCCATTACCCTAAGAGAAATAACTCAGAAACAGAAAACACAATACCACATGTTCTCCCTTATAAGTGGGTGCTAAACAGTGGGTACTCCTGGACATTATGATGGCAACAGTAGACACTGAAGACTCCAAAAGTGGGGAGCAAGGTTGAAAGACTACCTATTGGGTGCTATGTTCACTACTTGGGTGATAGGTTCACTAGAAGTCCAAACCCCTATGCAATATATTTGTGTATCAAACATTCACATGTATCCCTTGAGCCTATAATTTAAGAAAAAAAAATAAGAAAAAGCGAAAATAATGTGGTCAGTGGTTATATGCAGAGAAAACAAGTATTTTAAAATGAGGTCTCAATCAATAGTATGGAGAGCATGAATCTCAGTCTATGTATTCAGATATATAGAAGAAATAAGTTTTAAAATTCTGATAAGGTAACCTAATTTGTTTTTTTTTTGTCATTCCATTTTTCTGCAATGCTGAGGCATTGGGAGCTTCTGATCTTGGCTACCATTTGTTCACCCTGTGGCAACTACTGACATTTCCTTTGTCCTATGTCCACTAACAGATCACTGCTTAGGGTTTCTAGCCCCTGGCTGCAAGAACAAGGCTCTTTGAAGTCCAGCCCATGGACCTTCCTGCTCAGCACACAGGACACCATGCTGGTACAGGGAGGTCCATGGGCTGCCCAAGCCCAGTGGTCACACTTTGCAGCTGTTTCTACTCTGCACCATGCTGCCTTCCTGCGGCCCCAAGTGGGAGAGTGAAGTGGGCAAATGAGTGAAGTGGACCAGCTGTAAGATAAAAGGTGCTGTTGCTATTTAGTTCTATCTAATTGTTGCTGTAAAGGAATTTGGGCTCAGGGTGCCAGATATTCTGACATTTCAAGAAAATCCTGAAGTGATTATTGTTATGTGGCATCTCTTGATATTAACTACATCTAACAAAGACAAAATTTAAAATATATTAAGGTGAAATGAAATATATCTGTGGGCCAGCTTTATAGCCTGCCAGTTTGTAAGCTCTGACTTTCTTAATTTTATGTGTGTGTGGGTTGAGGGGGAGGGGATGTAAAGAGCAAGGCAGAACGAAGAATAAAAAGAAATATTGGAACCAAAGCTCGATCCAGGAGTTTTTCAAAAACATTATCCCAGTGAAAAAGAAGGAATAAAGGATAGTATAAAGCTGAAAGAAAAAGACACTTTTCAGGCTAGTTGCAAATGAGGGCAGTTTCTATGTGTCAAATAATCAGCCAGTTGGTAAATCATGACCTGCCTAGAGTTCAAAGCTCAGAGCCCAGGGCCTAGGATATAACAACTGAAAAGGAGATGGGAATGGAAAGAGAACTCAAGAGGAGAGGGCCATGAAGCTCAGAGAAGTCAGTTTACAGAGATGTAAACAAGCAGGGTTTCTTCTCTGATGGGAATTTTGAATGTTAGGTTTATCTTCAGACTGAAAAGGAAAAGCAATTGAAATTCACAAGCATTTCTTTACTTACTTTGAATATGATACCATTCAGAGAGTAATCACGAACCTTCCCACTCAGATATAATTACTGCTCTCTGAGTTTAGCTCCTAAAATGTTAATTAAAACAATATGTTAAACTTAGGGTCCAAAAAATGATCAAGGGACAGAGGAATGCAAGGTTTGCTAGATGAATATAGGTCACTGGGGAGCCAATGAAGAAGGAGATTTCTGCACAGCTGTCCCATATGTTGTCAGTCAGCCTTCTAGAGCAATGCTGTAGCTTTTCTGGGAAAGGGCCAGATTCAAGATCATAAACACTTTAGGAGATAGGCCAGGGGGTTGGTATAAAGCTCTCCATACTATTAGATCTACCTTTCCTTTTGGATGACATGCAAGAGGGCATTTGGGGGGACTGCACGAAAGTGAAGAAGTATTTATAGTTAAGGCTCTTGTTGAAGGTGAGAAAACAAGACAAAGCCAAAACCAACTCTAACAGATCTAAAGCAAGAGCAGAAATATTTTCTCACATAACAGAACAGTCAAGGATAGGATTGCTGTGGCTCTCAAAATGATCTTATCAGGACTTAGTTATTCTTCCCTCTTGACTATATCTAGACACCAGTCTAGAAGTTCCAGGTTAACACTGAAGTTTCAGGTTCAAGTTCAATGGAAAAGGGAGCATTACATCCCAGTGGTTCAATACTAACCTCCAAGATTAGTTCTGATTGCAAACAAACAAATTACATGCCAACTTTTGATTCAATCCTGTGACTAAGGGAATATTAGCACCTTGACTGGTTGGGACTAGGACAGGCCACACAATTCAACATTGAATCTTTTCTACATTTTTAAAAATCCTAACAGTTCTTTTTCTCTCTGTACTTTAATTTGAGTCATTTGCGTTGATCTGTCTTTCACTTAATGGAAATTGTGTCCCATATGCTGTTAAACCAATCTGTTGCAGTCTTACTTTCATATACTACCTTTTAAAATTTTTAAATGTTCATTTGATTCTTTTGTTATAGATTCACACCAGACATATACAAGTATGTTCAAAGAAGCATTATTCAGAATAGATAAAATTGGAACATAAAGAATTTTTTAAAATTATGTTAATAACTTTAATTACTTATATATTAATATATATTATATAGAGACCCTGGTCAAAATAAGGTTTCAAAAATTGATTTAAAACTCAGAGTTGTTCCTCTTCATGAACATCTTCAGTAAAAGGAGAAAAATTTATAGGATTTGAAATGAAACCAGAGAATCAAAATAATTTCTATAAAAGTAGAATACATAAATTATCTATGTTATGTTCATAGAATGGGATACCATACAGTAATGAAAATGAATTAACCCCAACTATATCCAACATCATGGATAAAAGTTAAAAACATAAAATTAAGACAAAGCAGTCAGATACAAAATAATGTGTGATTATATTTATGAAACTAGGATAGCTAGGGACCAATGTTAAGATAGCAAAAATACAAATAAAAGCAAGGAAACAATTATGAACAAAGTCAGAATATATACTTTTAGATAGCTATATTATATTTTGCAATAAAGAAAGTATAAGATAAAGGAAAGAGGTAATTCTGGGTTTTGGCAAAGTCATGAGAACATAAGCTGTTTACCTCTGCCTTTTACTTCTTTAGTCTGTTTTGCTGCCTCCTTTAAACACTATTACAAACTTTCCACAGTGATGCTCTGTCTTTTTATGGCCTGAACTCTCCACTCCTGTCCTAGAAAAGTGGTAAGTAATGGTATCTCCTGAAGTCCTCTGTCGGTGGACAGAAAAGTCCGTGTGTACTCTAGATAGAGTTAACCATGTCTCTATGATCAATATGATAGATAGGTTCCAGGAGTCAATATGAGATAAGCCATAGCTGCAATGAAGTTGGAAATAAGATAAATAAGATTGTGCCCTGGTAGTCACACTATAAAATCAGGTAATGAATTTAAACAGATTTGTAAATTCCCACATTAGGTAAGATTTGTTTAGTATTTACTAAGGCTAATTTGTGAAAAATATTACATTCATAATTCTTACAACAATTTTGCAAATTAAATGAGGTTATTTCCTTAATATTGCAATGGAAGAAACTGATGTTTAGGACATTTTCAACGAAGTCCTGTAGGTCACATGGTCAGAAAGTGCCAAAACTGAGATTGTCTGGCTCTTGAGCCCTTGCGCTGAACTCCTACATTATAATATCCTTACTGAGGAGTTGCAGCGGCTCCCAGGCCTTAGCAAGACTAGAGAACTTCATCATCCATGGCATAATGTAGTAACAGAAGTCTGGCATATCAGAGTGACTTGGGAGGCCCAATCTGGGTACACTTCAGAAAGACAAGGTCCTGCCAATTGACTGTTTCTCATGATCCTTTAGGTTTAAGGCTATTTCTACAGTGAGGGTGAACAGATCAGACTTCTTAACCTCATAACACTAGACGTTTTAATTATGAAGATAATCTCTTGTCCTCTGAGTTATTGTTTAGCAAGCAGCTTTCTGATCATAAGTTGACTTTCCAAGAAGAACACATTGGAATTTGGAGTCTGTGTCAATGTGAATACTCTGGTGTGGGTGAGAGCTTTTATTTATCATTGTCTATAAATGTATTGGCATTCTTATTTGTATGTAAGTTTCATGAGCTATGTAAATGTGAATTTTCTCATTAGAGGTTGGGTTTTGAAAGTTGGATTTACAAAGACTGATTTCTGAGTCTGCAAGACTGAAGACAGATCTCTGAATATTGGCAAATTCATCAAAGTAAAGTTATTATGTAAAACCCTTTGAACAATAAGCCAATGACACTTTGGTATTCAGACTTTAAACTTGGTGTGGGTTTAAATTTCTACTTAACTTCCACAAGGGTATCAGTTCACTTTATCTGGTGACTGTCACACTATAAGGCAGAATAAACCATGAAGCTATTACATCTCGGTAACGTGATGTGGTAGGGAGAGGTTTAAAGGAGTGCTATAGACTAAATTGTTTTTGCCTCCAGATTCCCATGTTAAAGCTCTAACCTCCAACACGATGATATTTGGAGGTGGAGCCTCTTGGGAGGTAACAGGTTATGAGGAAGTCATGAGGGTGGGGCCCTCTTGATGAGATTAGTGTCTTTATAGGAAGAGACACCAGAGTGAGCTTGCTTCCATTCTCTATTTGTGTACAAAGAGGTCACAAGATCACACAGCGAGACAGTGGACATAGATAAGCAAGGACATCTATAATGTCCTCACTAGAACTTGACATGCTGACACCCTGATCATGGGTTTCTAGCCTCAACAACTGTGAGAAAATAAATTTCTGTGGTTTCAGCCACCCAGGCTATAATATTTTGTTCTGGCAGCCCTAGCAGACTAATATGAGAGGTCAATGGAAAATAAGGAATCAATTTTCCTTTGAGTGACTGAGATGCTGTGGCAGGGGTAGGACAGGCTCACGAAACCTGAAAGGCCAGCCCAAGAGCGTAAAGCAGCTGGGGACATCACCAAAAAATAAGAAATTTTAAAAACTCCCTTTGCTTCATGTAGGACTGTCATATTTGGTATTCTGCACCAGGCCTCTCCTCTTAGATTTTTCTGTTTTCTGCATCTGTTTTATTCAGTGGAAGAGTTGCACTAGTGTCATCAACACTCAGAGCACTTTTAGAAAGTAAAAAATTTGACTCACTAAAAATGCTTCATTACATAGTATTCCTTTCACAGATCATTCTTTCCTTTCTGGAAAAGAATCAGGTTATAAAACCCAGGGAATGCAGTTAGCAGGACTTTTAAATGGTGTTTGATTTTTTAAAAGCCTGAGCATCTGACCATGGTTTTTCCGAGTCAAACAGCAGTTTAAAAACTAAGAGGCTTTGAAGTCAGAGGCCTATAATGCTGTGAGCTACTCTCTCTCTCTCTTGCTCTCTCCCCTGAAATAGTAGGTGAGATCAGATGAGAAAATTCATACAGATATTGTTTGTGTTTCTCCTCATAGAAGGTCATTTCTAAGAGTCTGCCCTATAAACCTTACTTAAGTTCTATAATGCACTGAGACACTTTTTTGAAATATATAAGAAAAAAAATTCAGTGGGCTGAGGAAAACTTATGTAACCACACTGTTATTACTTTTAAACATGAAAAATGTCACTTTCCCTTCACTTTTCAAATAATGAACAGAAAGACCCAGGCTTTATGAAGGTCACTTAGCAAGCCAAGACCAATACTGATTTTAAACTCACAAAGATAGAGGCCTCTTTAAAGAATGCAAAGGTCCCAATAATAATAGCTATCTTTTATATTGTACCTACAACATACCAATTACTTTGCTTGCTATCTTGCTTTATTTTTCACTGCTGCAGGACACCCTCAATGTGATATTTGTAATGGATAAAGAAAGTGAAGTTCAGAGTGGTTAAGTAACCAGACCAAGACACATTACTCATAAGAGGCTGTGTCATAATATAAAACTAACTCTCTGATTCTAAAATCACATTCTCTCCACTATGCCATGGAGATCAATAATAATATCTACATTTCTGGACACACTCAGTAAATCTGTTAATATTTACATTTTAATTTTAGAATAGCAGAAAACTTTCAGTGAGAGTAAGAATGGTCCAGTGACTTGAATGTTTTTTATAACTACAGACTTTTTTTTCTCAAGCAAAGCTGATTTTTAAAAATGGTAGTATGTGTTTGCCAGGAAGGCAGAAAAGTTAGAGACATTGAAGACTGTGTTTTACCAGAAGGTTCTAATCATGCCATGGTAACCAAGCATTAAGGTATTGATCTGCATAACTAACAGTGATCATAATAATTCACACTTGTAGAGTACTTCTCACATTGGAGATAGTTGTTTGGAAGAAGACAAGACAACTGGATCAGAAAAGAAGCCACACCATGTAGCGAGATTAGCTTTCTCTGGGAAATGCTTAGATCAAAGTTTTTATAGAAAGTGAGGAATTGTACTTCACAAATTGTCACCAGGAAAGCAGTCTCCCACAAAATGCAATAAATACAAAAGGAATCGGAAACTGGGAATTGGCTTGTTATAACAATGTGTGAAATGAAGAGTGCTGAGTGGAGGTAGTTATAAATAATCAGAGTGGGAGAAATATTACCTGAAAAAATAGAGGTGTAAGGGTATGTTTGTGATCAGTCTACTGCATTAAAGAAGGAGGGATGTTTGGTCTGTTTGACAGCTCTATCCCCAAAGAGGAGGAAAGAGATCCATTAGTTTGCTTTATCTTCATAATACTTCCAAGATAATCCAACTCCGTGGCCCTGATTCCACACTCTCTAAGCAACCTTCTGATGGTAACTGGGTTTCTCAAATAGATTTCTTTCCTTGGAAGGAAATGAGTGAACAGACTGACATTATTCCGTCTGCTTGGCAGTGTGATTTCTCACTGTAGATTAAGATTTTGGCTCGGGTGATGGGTGCACCAAAATCTCACAAATCACCACTGAGAAACTTACTCATGCAACCAAATGCCACCTGTACCCCGATAACTTATGGAAAGAAAAGATTTTGGCTCTTGAATTTGGTATATTTGAGTGATTCGAGTCAGGTCTCTTTAGGCCTGACTTCTCAAGGCCCTGAGCCTGCAGAACTGACAACAGCAACCACTTACATTTGTATAGTAATTTATAGTTTATAAGCCTTCTAACCGATGTCATCTTATTTAGTCATAATGTGTCTGTGAGGTAGTTATTATGATCTATATCTAATAAGACTTGGAAAAGTTAAGCAAATTTCTCAAGGTCATCTAGTAAGAGGAATACAGAATAAAAAACCTAGCACTTCTGAGGCTAAATTCAGAGCTTCTCCACTACCAGGGACCGGTGAGTACACAAATGTATAAGAATTCATGAGATTGAGTTTGAAACAACCTGTAGGCTTGCCAATATCTTGCTGCAAGAGAGGTTCCTCTTTCTAGATAAAGGAGTTATTTTTTTAAAAGCTTATTTAGCTGTCACTCCCAATCTCCCCATTCCCCATCCAGCCACAGGAAACCCACTAACCCAAAATCTACTTTCTGACTCTTTAGATTTGCCTATTTTTGGCATTCCACATAAATAGAATCATACAATGTGTGGTCCTTTGTGTCTGGCTTCTTTCACTTAGTATAATGTTTTCAAGGTTCGCCCAAGTTTCAGTATGTATCAGTGTTTTAATCCTTTTTTATTGACAAATAATATTCCATTGTATGGATGTACCACAGTTGGTTATCCAGTCTTCAATTGGTAGATATTTTCGTTGTTTCCACTTTT